ATCAGGGGTATATTATCATAAGCATGGCTAAAAGAACAGGAACAGCTGGGAAAAATAAACTGAGTGCAGACTAAGTCAGACAATTTAGGCTGGGTATGGTGGCTCACGCCTGTAATCCCAGCATTTGGGAGGCTAAGGCGGGTGAATCACCTGAACTCAGGAGTTTGAGACCAGCCTGGTCAACATGGTGAAACCCCATCTCTACTAAAAATACAAAATTAGCCAAGTGTGGCGTTGTGTGCCTGTAATCCCAGCTATTTGGGAGGCTGAGGTAGGAGAATCGCTGGAACCCAGGAGTCGGAGGTTGCAGTGAGCCTAGCTCATGCCACTGCACTCCAGGCTGGGCAACAAGAGCAACACTCCATCTCAAAAAAAAAAAAAAAAAAAAAAAAAAAATCAGACAATTTAATACACTTTAAAATGTATCCAAAGTTTTGAAGTCTATAATACCTTATTCAAAAAAATACAGATTGAATTAAAATGAGTATTAAAACCACCTATATTTTATCTGTCAATTCTCACTCCTCAAGAGTAAATTTTCCACCCACTTGGTAATTACCTCATTTCTTTTCACAATATCATTTAAGTATGTAGGAATAGTTAACTTATTTCTATTTGGTGATGGCCAGCTGAATAACAGAGTCTCTCCATAGCAAATCTACAACTCCAGTCTAGGTCTGTTGATTCCCTATCCAGAGCTCATTTACCGAATCATAACACCTCTCAGCTATTTACTATGTGTAGTGAAGGATATAGAATAGCTTGTCGCAATGCATTATAAAAAGCAAATACATCATAGTTGTGTTCAGCAGTCTACCAGCCTCCATTTTCATGTCTGGGTACATTTTACAATTCCACAGATAAAAATCACTATTTAGTGTGATAGAAATTACTACCTTATTTATTGCCTATTAACTTGACAGTGAGAAAGAAATGAAAAGATGGATCTTGGGCTAGATCATACATTCATGGTCCTTCTAAGCCCTGATTTCTATCTACAAAGCAGGAAGAAAATCTAAGTGTATTGTTCATCCACCAGGAGATTGGTCTGGTCCACGTTATGTTTGAGGAGCCTATTTGGCATCCAAGGGTAGATAGAGAGCAGGTAGTTGGGTATACCTGACTCTAGGGTAAAGAGAGCAGTCTGGCTGGAGGCTGTATGAGAATGCAAACTCTGGGAAAACAGAGATTTGGTCTATTTTGTTAAGTTCTATACCTTTAAACACCCACAGCAATGCCCAGGACATACAAGTAGCTCTATAAATATTAGATGGAGCTATGTGAAACTGCCATGACATTGTACTATTTTTGATCTACATTAACAGCAACTTCATATGATTCCACCTAATACCTACTGAATAAATGATACACTGTAATTTTTCATTTCACAGTCTCTCCTCTGGGCCTGAGCTAAAAAAAAAAATTTCTGCCTTACTGGAAAAAGAGTAGAGCAGAGTGGGTAGGGGATCCTGAAGTTGGTCCTTACTCCTTTTCAGACCCCTAAGGTCTCAGTCTCCCTCTTTCCTGGCTATTGCATTACACACACACCAAATATTTATTGTTGGTGGTAATGATGACAGAAATTACCTTTTCCTAATATTTCCTATAAGTAATTATTAGAAAAATAAAATTAGCCACTTGCAAACTAGTTGACTTTAAATAAATTTACAATATTTTTCTCAGTACTGTTACTGGGTACAAGGTTCTGATCATGAGTTGTCCAGGTCCGTGGCACATTGAACAAAGAAATGAATAGCATGCACGAACAAGCAAATAAAGTGTAGATTTATTGAAGCGGGAGGCAATAAAAGTGAAAGTACACTCCACAGAATGGCAGTGGCCCAAGCAAGTGGCTCAAAAGCCCTGGTAGCAAAGTCTTCTAGGGTTTAAGTACCCTCTAGAGGTCTCCCATTGGTTACACCCTATGTAAATGAAGGGCTGGCTCATGCCAATTAGAGGTCAAAGTGAACTGGCCCATGGCCAATCAAAGACTGGCTAGATTGGCACCTTACACAAAAGAAGGTCTTAGAATGGACTAGTCATATGCCGGAGTGCAGGTTTGCCTCATGGCCAATCAGAGGCTGGCAAGAATAGGCACCTTATGCAAATGAAGTCCTAGAATTCAGTTACAAGAAGTTTGCGTGAATTGGCCTTAGGTTCCCTGCCTTAATAGCTTATTCTCCTGCCTCACTACTAGAGTTATCATTTTATTGCTAAACTTTCTGAGTAATAGGAAGATTATTTCTCCAATGCCATAGCAGAAGAATAGATCTCTACTACCAAACCATGCAGAAACACTATGTATGTGTGTTAAGGATGTTACACTATGCTATTTAATTACATTAAGGGATATTTCTGCCTGTATTTGTTTTTCTATGTTATATCACACTTAGAATCTTCCAAAGAAAAATCCAATTGCTTATAATTTTACCTGAATAGATTATCACATGAAACAACTTTTCTCCTGAAACACACACATACATGCATATATAATCCTTAAAAGCTTTTATGAATTATCTTTAAATTACCACACTGTTATATAAAATTTCCACAGTAGTTCTCTTTTTTGGTTTATCATGTCACAAACTGAATATAAAATAAGAATTATTTTCTATTCTGTTTTATAAAGAAATGCTGTTCCTGAAGAACTTTAATATATATTAATTCAAATTTAATCATTTAAATGGAATGGCTATGCAAATCTGAGCATGGTGCTCTGACAGGATAACTTTTAGGATCACAACTCCAGTAGCCAGCTCACATGTAGATGAATTTTCTTTAAAATTCAAAAGCTACCTCTGATGCCCTATAATAATAAAACAATAATGAGAAACATAACACACGTCTCTCATTATTGTTCTATCATTATAGGACATCAGAGGAATAATAATATTTTGATATGCAGCTTTAAAGAGTAATTTGTTGAATAACAATAATCCCCAAGTCAAGTTGATGTATTAATTTGCTTCTAAATAAATCAAAGTATAGGCCAGGTGTGGTGGCTCATGCCTGTAATCCCAGCAACTTGGGAGGCCAAGGGAGAAAGATCACTTGAGCTCAAGAGTTTGAGGTTAACCTCACATATAGTGAGGTTACCCTCACATATAGTGAGGTTACTCTATGACTGTGCCGCTGCATTCCATCCTGAGGGACAGAGTAAAACACTGTCTCTAACCAAAGTAAATAAATAAGTAACTAAAGAAAAGCACAACATCACTTTTGAAACTTAAGTAGTAGCAGATAATGAGAGCCCTTTCCCAAGCAGCTACAACATTAGGTGATTTTTAAAAAGGCTAGAATTTGTTTTACCTTATACTACTAAACAATTCACATTTCACAAAATGTGCTGCTCTGACTTGTTTAAACAGTGGATGTACCCCCATCACATGATCTGGTCTCTCTTTCTTAGCTATATTCATCCAATCTGGACAGTGAACTGTGATGGCAGGGACATCTCTCTATTCCCTTAAATCTCTCTGCTTTATGCCCATTGTGCTTGATAGTGAGGATCTTCAAAAACTATAAATTAAATTCCACAGGTTTGCACACAAAATTGCATATAAATGTGTAATGTACTATTAAATCTCAGTTCCTTAAAGGTTCAGAGGATTATTATCTACTCTTCCCTTCTGTTATGAAAATATCATGTCCCACAAACCTGCAAAATTAAGCTACCCAACCAACAAGCCCAAGCTGTTTAGCTCTTAAATTGAGGTGATGCAATGTGCAAAGGAAAGTCACCTTAATTCCACTAAGGGAAAAAAATGCACTAAAACCCATCTCTCTGAGCTGAGCCTTCATTCAATATTGAAACAAGTAATCGTAAATTCCATGGTTTTGGCTGCTGCTCAACACTATTCTATTCAACTGGGGATTGAACAAAGCAAAATAAAAAGGAGCTTTAATCTGCCTTTTCTTCTTTTTTTGCTATACTACATTGACAGCACCTTGTTCATTAATTAAACTTTTTCTTCCCTTAAAGAAATAGACTTTAGAGTACTATATTGAACACTGACGAAGCAGGTAAGAAATAAAAAGCATACATTTAAAAATAAATCTAGGATTTAAAAATTGTAGTTGGAGATACAAAATATTCATGAACAATAAAACAAATACAGAGAAACATTTCAGCAAATACAAAGTAAGATGGTAAGTATTTAACACATATAGGTGCTGACACAGAGGCAGAACTAGGAGAGACTAGGGGTTCCTCTCACAGATTTTACATCAATCAAGACAGCTTCATCTTGATGACTGAAACAGTTCAGGCGTCTTACACATTTTCTCTCATCAACTAGAGGTAGAGTTACAAATTTAAGTCTTTGGAGACTATGAACCCAGTTAATAATGACTAATTTGCCAAATTTGCTGGAACCCTTAAAAATAATTTCTGTTTTGTGAGCCTGACTTGTGCTTCTTACATAAGAAGAGAACGCAATCACTGTTGTTGGTTTTTTGTTTGTCTGTTTGTGACAGAGTCTCGCTCTGTCACCCAGGCTGGAAGTGCAGTGGCACTGTCTCAGCTCACTGCAACCTACACCTCCTGGATTGAAGCAATTCTCCCACTTCATCCTCCCGAGTAGCTAAGATTACAGGCGCATACCACCACACCTAGCTAAGTTTTTGTATTTTTAGTAGAGACGGGGTCTTACCATGTTAGCCAGGCTTGTCTGGAAATCTACCCACCTTGGCCTCCCAAAGTGCTGGGATTACAGGTGTGAGCCACTGCACCCAGCTTTCACTGTTGTTTTTGTTCTGTATAATAATAGACATGGTAGGGAGGTCATGAAGGAAAAAACATAATTCTTATTCATTACCTTACTGTTATGAAGAAACTTTTGCTTTGATAATAATTTAAAGAAGATATGCCATTTCTAATTTGCCATCTTAAAGCTCAAAATAATAATGTAGTAAAATTCTAAGTGCATGCAAAATCTTTTAAGAAATGACAGGTGCTCCAAAGGGAAATTATTAAAAGGTAAAAAAGATGAGAAAATGCTTTTCATGTATTTTCTATTTGGGTTTTAGATACCTCAATATGAGGGAACGAGAGGAACACAAGCATTCTTTACTGTTTTATCATTATGTAAATCAAATAGATTTTCTTTTCCAATAAAATTCTGTGTAAATTGCCCCTGTGCATATCTTGCTGGCAAGAGAAATTTTAGGAATGACACCAATTTCATGGTAACTTTAATTTTTAAAAATGTGCCTCAGCTTTACAACCTGAAGATAAAGAAAGTTTACACACTTTCTTGAAGTCTCTCACTAAAAACTGATGACCAGTGGAAACTTATCTTCTCATCAGTCATAAAATCGTGATTGTAAAATTCAAGTTAAACAATAATCTTGAATGCAGAGTTCAAAATATGTGATTTACTGTTTGCCAAAGAAAATTTATTTTCTAACCATAATAATAGTTGTCACTTATTGAGAGCTTACTCCATTCTAGGTGCTATTTTACATATATTATGGCTGCTTTACATCATGGAAAGCCACGTCATATATTTTTATTAGAATCCCCAGAAAAGAATCCATCCTTTCAATGTTAATTTCCTGAGTATTTGACAACACAATCAGAAAAATTATCTTAATGTTAGAAAAACAGTACTGTTTATATATGTGAAGAGAAAGTCAGTAGCATATAGAGAATTGGGATAGCCAAGATTATTATTGATAATGTATAGGAAAATACAATCACGTTCACGAATTCTAAAAGGAAATTAAAGACATTTGCTAATTAGGTGATCACAAAACAAATGATAAAATTCATTTCCTGCTCTGTGATACTGACAAGGCATCAAACCAAAAAGATGAAACAAAGGCATTTGGCTTTCATTATAAACATATATAAAATAGCACAATAAAGAGACCTATACGCAGCTCTTTCACGTCAGTTAACTTAGATTCCTATCACTTTTTTTAGACAAGTGTTTCTATTACCTTTCTTAAAGATATCACCACGGCTCAGCAGCTGCCATGATGACTTAACAAACTAAAAATATGGTTTCTCATGCACATACAATTCATTTCCACGTCCACAAAGAAATAATGGGCAAGAATAACTAATAAAGTTAAACAGCAAAGGGTAAGAACTGAAATAAAAACTGAAGGTTGGTGAATTCACCTTAGAATTGATAGACAAAATATAAACCTCAATATGTGTTTTCCTCATTCAGTTATACTTCTACAACTTTATGTTCAAATTCTATTTTCAAAAAAGTCTGAGTAATGAACATAGATGATGGCATTCAGGGAGAAAAGAAAGATCGTAAGTAAATCTAGACTTAGAATTTCCTTACTTTTGGAGTTATCAGTGTTTTGGTTTCAAGAAAAATCAGTATTGTTTACTTAATTTTGTAACAATTTTTGACTAATCCCATTACTTAAAAAAAATTAGAAAATTATGCTCTCCACAAATGCCTCTTACTGTTAATATCTTTTCCTACTATCAAAACGACTCATTTATTGTGCTCGCTATGGCAGCACATATACAATAGGGCTCATTCACTTCCTTTTACATTAACATGCATAAAATAGTATCTGTTTTAACTATCAATAAATTCTTTAATTAACAACAGCTACCACGCACAGAGCGCCTATATGTGCTTAGCAGTGTGTCAGCCACTTGAGAGACATTATCCCTGCTCCTTACAAGAACCCATAAAAAACAGAGATTATTATTCCCATATACAAATGAAAGCACAAGGCAGGCCTTAGGGAAGGTATCTGGACCAGAATAATAAAATTAACACGTTAAATCTTAATAGACCCAAATAATCATCACTGTACTCTCTCATAATCAATATAGCTCATCCTAACTTTGGTGCAATAGCAGTCTGAATTTCAGAAAGAACTTCCACTTATAGAAAACTTACTTAAGTCTTGATCCTCATCAAAAAGCAGACATTCTTTCTTTCCTTTAGCTGGGGAGAACACAAGAGGTCCAGAGAGGGTAAAAAGCTTTCAGAGCTCCCAAGGAGGGTGCAAAGGCCTGGCCTGTGGCCTTTAGCCTTTAGATCCAATTTTCTTTCTAATGCTCAGGCTTCAACCAGCATAGATGAAAGCACATGTATTTGTAGCAAAGTACCTGGTGAGGCACACCCCCTTTAAGTCTTAGTGCTCCAATCTTTGCATTTAACCACATGGTTGCTCACCATTTTTATTATTCCCTTAATATCTTCGTATGAATAGAATTTTCTATACATTTTCCTTTATTTGACAACCAAAACTGTTAAAACAGAAAAGTCATGATTGCTGCTTCTAATTTTATTCTGTTCTATCAGAATATTCTATAACAGTGTTTCATTCTCAAATACAGAAATGCTAGGGCATGCAGTGAACAAGTAATACTGAAAAGCTGTTTCAAGGAATAAATAATAAATAGTGAGGGGTCTCCCCGTAAAATATTGACACTAAGGAGCCTGCAAACCTTCCGTTCTTCAGATGGCAGCTCCTCCTATCTCAGATTAGGTGATGTAATCTCATGTAAACAATGAGGGGAAAAGACCAATAAAAGAAGGTTTAGCATCTTTACAGTGACGAAACCAAGTTACTCATTGCATTTGATGACATAATAACAAATGACAATATTGGTCACGGAAAAACGCATTTGCCTACCTATCCATCTAGAAAATTGAACTGGGCATACCCACTCTGATTTATGTGGTCAAATACTTAGAAAATTTTTAAATAATATAGACCATATATTTATAACACAACTGTCCTTTTGAATTATTTTTTTGGGTCATACTCAAAAAGTCAGATACTTTTGACAGCTCAGGAACTATATACCAAAAAGCTTTTCATAATGTTGTACAACAAATCTGACAAGAAATGCCTATAAACAAACAGAAACAGTCTAAAACCAAATGCATACACACACCTTCGCTCACATTTTAAGATGTCAACTATGAAAAAATAATGCAAAATTATAGTTATAGGCAGACTTCACTCCAGTACTTCTGGCAAAATACAATTTCCCTTGCTCTTTAAATGATGAAAGATAGCCTGCTAAAAGGATCTTTTAAAATATGTCTATAAAAAAATCTCCTCAAACATGACTAAGATGTGATTATAAACACAATTTCAATCAAGTGATACTATCTATAACTCTAGCAAGTAGGTAATGAAAAACAGGGAAAAAAGGCAAAGGGCATTCTGCTTTTTCACATACTCCACAGTAACGTATTTTATGTCCTAGTGAATATATGGCAGTACATTTGACGATTTTTCCTTCTCCACTTGGGGAAAAGCTTTAAGACTCCAAAGCAAAGTAGAAATCCTCCCCAACTTATGATGGGGTTATGTCCTGATAAACCCATTGTTAACTTAAAAATATCACACATCAAAAAATGAATTTTAATACACTCAGCCTACGGAAAATCACAGCTTACTTTAAACATGCTCAGAACAATTACATTTGCCTACAGTTGGGCAAACTAATCCCACACAAAGCTTATCTTACAAAAGCATTAAATATACCATGTACTATATTGAACACTGTAGTCAAAGTGAAAAACAGAATGGTTTTATATCATAAAATCAAAAAATATTAAGTCATCAAGAAACTCAAACATAAAAAAATCTAAAACACATTCACATTTCATACATCATCTCAACCACTCTCTACAAGTTTATGATTATTACAATATTTCTTTTTCTTTTTTTCTAATCCCCATGTTGATTAAAATTATAATATTTGGTTTGGACGGCTGGTAGAAGTAAAGGTATAGCCATAAGACTGTTTTATTTCTCAAAAGCAAAATGGTATTGAGTACTTATTATGTACAAGGCATTGTACTAAGCACTTTCTTTGTATTAACTTTATTTAGTCCTCACAGCAACCCTTTAAGATACATACTATTAGGATCTTTTTCTCACAGATGAAGAAACTGGAGCACAGAAAGGTTAAGGAAACTGCCAACAATCTGGTTACAGTTGCTAAGTTGCAGAGCAAGTATTTGAAGCCAAGCAATTGTATTTCCAAGCAGTTAATTGCTCTGAAAACTGTATCTGTAGTTTGTCAGATGAAATTACCTATTCTTTCCTGAATTTATACAGAAAATAGGAAAGGGGTTTATCCTAAATCATCCCATTTTTCATCCCTTAACTTATAAGCTATACATAAAACAACAAAGAAGAACCTGTTACAACATCAATTCACTGAGTCCCATTGGCACTGCATCAGAAATAATCAGAATTGGTATCAAAAACTTACATTTGATTCTGAGCTATATAGGGTAAAAAGTTTATATGTTTGGGTAATTCATTAAACCTTTTTGGTCTCAATACTAAGCTACAGAATAGAATAAAAATATTATCTCCCTTATTAATTGTATTTGAGGAAACCAAACCCTTAAGAAAATCTGGTAATGTTCTTTACAGAAGAGTGCCAGCTAATAACTTTAGCCATAAAAATAGTATAAGTGACTTTGGAAAGATCATTCAAGAGACAAACCATTACATTAAAAGTTGGTGAACTTTACAATGGAGGGTTCAAACTACTGCTACCCAATACGCTTCCTATGTGACACAATATGAAAAACAAAGTACCACTTATAAATGATCCGCCAAAAAGCTCACCCCTGAATCTACATAAGTCTTTAGAGCTAATTTCATTTACAAATAGAATTTACTGTAACAAACGACACCACAAAAAAATCCAAAATATGAAACATTTTATAAAACTGGCTTATTTCTTCAAGTTAATGGACTGAAAAATCAAAAACAAAAAAGGGTGGCAAGAGGAAAAGACAGCTGAGTAAGGGATTACTAAAACAGGTATGAGACAATAGCCAAATCAAACATGTGACCTCACATAAATCCTAGTTCAAACAAATCAGATGTAAAAATAAACAAAAGCAAAATTTTTGTTAAGCAACTGGAGAAATCTGAACATGACCTGGATATCTGATGTCACCAAAAATTATTGCTAATTTTGCCAAGTCATAAGACAATCATACTACAATTATGTTAGGAAGTGTCTATTTTTTTTTTTTTAGAGGTGCATACTGCCTATACAGGCACCTGTGATGGTTAATTTTACATGCCAACTTGCCTAAATCAGAGTAGCCAGATATTTAGCTAAACATTATTTTGGAGTGTGTCTGGGTGTCTCCAGATGAGACTGGCATTCGAATCAGCAGATTCTGTAAAAAAGATCACTCTCCCCAATGTGGGAGGGCAGCACCCGATTTGTTAACAGCCGGAATAGAACAAAAGGTGAAGGGAGAATTCTCTTGTCTGCCTGATCCCATGAGCGGAGACACTGGTCTTCTCTGACCCTTGGACTTGGACTTACTGGCTCCCACAGTTCTCAGGCCTTTGGACTGAGATTGAACTACACCACTGGCTTTCCTGAGTCTACAGCCTGCCAACAGCAGATCACAGAACTTCTCAGCCTTCATAATCACGTGAGCCAATCTCTCACAATAAATCTCTTTATATAGAGAGAGCAGCATATGACTTAGTCTGAAACTTGCTTCAAAAACAGCTAAAACACAAAGAATAAAAAGGGATATATAAATAAATAAAATACAGAAAATACTGGTAACTGTTTAGTATGATGACAGAAATGTGAGAATTTGTGTTTGTATACATTTGGAATTTTTCATAATGTTAAATGTTTTAAAAGTATTTTCTCCACTTGTTTCATAAACTATATGATGATCATTGAGAAAAAGTATATAAAAGTAGCTAAAACACATGTCAGGTATTAACGTCAGTTTGAAAAAAGAATAAAAAAAAATTTAAGGAATCCACATTCTAAATTAGGAGAAGGCCAGTTCACAGGCCAAATCCAGACAGCTGCCTGTTTTTGTGATAGTAATGCAGGTACGTCCATTTGTTTAAATACTGATGGTTGCTTTCATGCTACAACAGCAGAGTAAATGCAACAGAAACCACATGGTTCATGAAGCAAAACTTATTTACAATCTGGCCCTTCAAAGAAAGTTTACTGATTCCTATTATAAATTCTACATTTTTACTATTATTTAAGAGAAAATTTAGCCTCAAAACATTTTCAGAGCCTTCCTTTTTAAAATTTACCAAGAATTTTCCCTATCTAGCTTCTCACAAATAAAAACAAAGCTACCTATAAAATAGGGGCTGGTAGCCTCCTAATTTTTGACCTAAAGTGAATAAATCATTTCATAGCTTCAGGGTAGCTACTTTTCTATTAAAAAGCCTATAATAAAAGTAAACAAACCAAAAAAGTAAAAAGGTAAAAGAAGAAAAATTGTAATTTCATATTACTATTATTATTTTACTTCAAGTTCCCTGAGTTTAATAAAATAGCCAAAGGGAAACAATATATTACATGTTTCAATGCATTCCAATCAAAGGATGTTTTTTATTTGGGGAGAGAAAGACAAAGGAACACAGATACATACAAGGCTGGAATTTCCTCCATGTCAATCCAGTGAAAAACACTGTAAACCCATGGGCCACTTTTTTCTAACTATAAACTGTATATTTTGGATTAATAGTTTAAACACATTCTTTGGCAACCTTCAACTTAACGTACATAACCTTCAGGTACACCCATGAGCTGATTAGTAATTTAGGGCTTGAGAAAAACAATGTTTCAGAGGGAAATGGAGACATGAATGAGTTTAATATGTAAGTACACTAGCTAAAGGGCATAATTAAAACTACATCACTCCTTTAAATCTACATAATTAAGTCCCAAAGACATTCTCATTAGTATGTTTTATTTTTCCACTAAACCAGAAAGGACTTCATGTCTACATGGTTGGAAAATACACATAAAATTTAAAAAGCTGAGGCTGGCTGGACGTGGCAGCTCACACCTATAATCCCAGCACTTTGGGGGGCTGAGGTGGGTGGATCACTTGAGGTCAGGAGTTTGAGAACAGCCTGACCAATATGGTGAAACCCCCTCTCTACCAAAAATACAAAAATTAGCCAGGCATGGTGGCGTGTGCCTGTAGTCCCAGCTACTCGGGAGTCTGAGACAAGAGAAGTGCTTGGAGACAGAAGAATTGCTTGAACCCAGGAGACGAAGGTTGCAGTGAGCTGAGATCGCACCACTAGACTCCAGTCTGGGTAACAAATCGAGACTCTGTCTCCAAAAACATACATGCATACATGCATGCATACATACATACATAGCGAAGGCATATACAAGTCAGATAAAGTGCTCGCAACATTCAATGACTGAACTTCCCTTTTTGAAGTAATATATAAAATCTGCCATTAAGTAATATAGAAATCTAGTCAACCATCATTGCCACCACAATATCAGTTAGGTGAGCTTATGCCCCAAATTTCAGAGGGGAAAATAACCAGAAAGAATTAACAAACTATTTTTAATTTTAGAAGACAGAATGTGGCTTTTTTTGACAGTAACTCAACTGAAAATCTCTACTAACCAGCACTTCCTTTACTATGCAATGATAATTGATGTTCCTAATGATCAGCCTGAAGCATGTTCCAAATCCTGAAGTTCATTCTAAATGATTAAAAAGATTATGTTCTGTATACTTCCAATAGTGAGTACACTTCATTCTCATTACTTTAAGATTAGCAACATATTTAAGATATGTAAGTCCATCAACAGGCTGTTCTCAAAATTAGATATTCACAGGGGCTATACTGAAAAGCTCTTAATATGATGGTCACTTTACTATACATAGGGGAGAAAATCACCTCTCTCAAGACATGAGACATGAAACTCTACAGTGTATTAAGAGAGTCTGTCCTAGGACTTGAAGAAATTTTAAATCCCCTTTTTGGGGGGAAAAAAAATGGCCCAAACAGTGGCCATTATACTCTCCGCTTATAATGACATTGATCAAATCTTCTGAGACAGAAGCTGGAGGAGGAATTAGGAAGCTATTGCAATAATTAGGTAAGAGATGGTGATAGAAAGGACCAATACTATGAAAGTACAAACTGGATGATGATGAAATACTTTCAAGATTGAGCCAAAAAAAACTTGCTGACAGCATAGGTATGAGAGAAAGGAGTCAAAGCCTATATACATCAAGGTTTTTAACCTCAGCAACTAAAGCTATGGGACTGCCATTGTCTGAGATGGGAAAGACTACAGAAGGGATTGATTTGGGGCAGAATGGTAGTCCAAGAGCTTAGTTTTAAGCACTTTAAGCCCGAGATAGCTCCTAAGTATTACAGTGTTTATATAGTCTAGAACATAGATCATCTATAGAGGCACTTGGATATCTGGGTCTAGAGCTCAGGGAGAAGGCTAGACTGAAAACATGCTATTAGGAGTCATTGGCATATAGATCTATGTGAAGCCATAAAAAAGGATGAGATTACCTAAAGAGTGTAAATATAAAGAACGAAGATGTTTCCTGGAGCGCTAAACTATCTAAGAAGAATACCCACATTCCTCATGTTATTGTGCCGCATTTCACTGTGCTTCATAAAGAGTGCATTTTCTACATATTGAAGGTTTGTGGAACCCTGCATCACATGTCTATCCATGCCATTTTTCCAACAGGATGCTCACTTCGTATCTGTGTGTCACATTTTGGTAATTCTCTTAATATTTCAAACTTTTTCATTATTATCTCATTATATATATTTTATTATTATATCTGTTTTGGTGATCTGTGATCAGTGATCTTTGATATTACTAAAACTGTTTTGGGGTGTCACAAACCACACCCATGTAAGACAGGAAACATAGTCGATAAATGTTGAATGGGTTCTGACTGCTCCACCAACTGGCCATAACCTTGTCTCTCCCTCTCTCCTCGGGCCTGTCAATTCCCTGAGACACAAAAATACTGAAATCAGGCCACTTAATAACCTTCAGGCCAATTAATAAGGACTCTAAGTGACCAAGTGAAAAAAAGACTTGCACATCTCTCACTTTAAATAAAAAGCTAGAAATGATTAGGCTAGTGAGGAAGCCATGTGCAAAGCAAAGATGGCTCAAAGCTAGCCTCTATGAGTCAGTTAGCTAAGTGAGATAGGCCAAAAGCTAAGCTTCTTGTGCCAAACAGTCAAGCTGTGAATGCACAGAAAAAGTTATTAAAGGAAATCAAAAGAGATACTCCAGTGAATGATAAAAAAAGCAATACAGGCTTCTTGCTGATGTGTAGAAACTTTGAGTGGTCTACACAGAAGATTAAACAAGCCACAACATTCCCCTAAGCAAAAGCCTAATCCAGAGGAAGGCTCTAACTCTATTCAATTCTATGAAGGCTGAGAGAGGTGAGGTAACTGTAGAAGAAAAGTTTGAAGCTAGCACAGGTGGGTTCAGGAGGTTTAAGGAAAGAAGCTGTCTCCATGACATAAAAGTACAAGGTGAAGCAGCAAGTACTGATGGAGAGGCTGGCGCAAGTCAACCAGGAGAACTAGCTAAGAGAACTGATAAAGGTGGCTATACTAAACAACAGATTTCAATTTACATAAAACAGCCTTAGATTGGAAGAAGACTTCCTCTAGGACTTTCACAGCTAGAAAGGAGAAGTCAATGCCTGGATTCAAATGACAGGCTCTTTCTTGTTAGGGGCTAATGTAACTGGTGGCTTTAAGTGGAAGCCAGTTTACCATCCTGAAAACCCTAGGGCCCTTAACAATTATGCTAAATGTACTCTGCCTGTGACCTCCAAATGGAACAAACAAAATGTGGGCAACAGCATATCTGTTTACAGCAGAGTTTACTGAATAATTAAGTCCACTATTGAGATCTAGTGCTCAGAAAAAAAGAATTTCTCACAAAATATTACTGCTTCATGACAGCGTACCTAGACACCTAAGTACTTTGATGACATGTATGATCAGATTAATGTTTTCATGCTTCTTAACGCAACATCCATTCTGCTGCCCATAGATCAAGGAATAATATTGACTTTCAAGTCTTATTATTTAAAAAATATATTTCATTAGGATATCATTCCCATAGATTGTGATTCCTCTGATGGATCTAGGCAAAGTAAATGGAAAACCTGGAGAGAATTCACCATTCTAGATGTCATGAAAAGTATTTGCGACTCACGGGAAGAGATCAGTGTATCAACATTAACAGGAGTTTGGAAGAAGTTAATTTCCAGCCTTCATGGATGACTTTGAGGGGTTCAAGGCTTCAGTAAAGGAAGTCACTACAGATGCGGTGGAAATATCAAGAGAACTTGAATTAGAAGTGGAGCCTAAAGATGTGACGAAGGTGATTCCTGCAACATCATAAAACTTTTTAATGGATAAAGAGTTGCTTCTCATGGATGAGCAAAGAAGGTGATTTCTTGAGATGGAAGCTATTCCTGGTGAAGATGCTGTGAACACTGCTGAAATGACAACAAAGGATTTTGATTATTACATAAACTTAATTAAACTTAATTTATAAACAGCGTCAGGGTTTGAGAGGATAGACTCCAATTTTGAAAGAAGTTATGTTATACGTAAAATGCTATCAAACAGCACTGTATGCCACAGATCAATCTTTTGTGAAAGGAAAAGTCAATCGATAAAGCAAACTTCTTGGTTGTCTTATTTTAAGAAATTGTCAGAGCCACTCCAGCCTTCAGCAACCACCACCTTGATCGGTCAGCAGTCATCAACATCAAGGCAAGGCTCACCAAAGGCTCAGATGATCATTACCATTTTTAGTAAAAAAAAAATGTATTTTTAAATTAGTTATCTACATTGTTTTTCTAGACATAATTCTATTGCACACTTAACAGACTGCAGTATAGTATACGGATAACTTCTACATGCATTGGGAAAGCAAACTGTGTGGCTTGCTTTATTTAAGTTTTATTGTGGTGGTCTGGAACAAACCCCACAGTATCTTCTAGGTATGCCAGTACTGCCTTAGGGAAGTCGAATGCCTGTATCTATGTTGTCTAGGATCTATCCTGTCAAGCATCTTATGTATGTTTCTAAACCAATTCTTCAATTATTTTAAATCAGCAAGTAAATTTATCTTTGCTGAAAATGAGGAAAGATGGTTATTGTGAAATCAATCAAACGTCACCTTGACCTGAATAGGTCCTTAAATATAATTATGAGAAAGGCATAACTAGCTGTATATAAGAAGCGCAAAGTAAAACCAAAAGGAAGACTGCATCAATTTACTAGGATAGGTAAGCACTGAAGTCAAGGAAGTCAACAGTTCTGCTTGGATGATGACACAGTGCTGAAGGGTGACCCAAGCGATTTCTGCAATAATAACTTCCACAGATTCAACTTAGACACTTGAAGCATGCTACCAAAAATTCAAATATTCAAAAATGTGTGATAAACATAAAAAATTTGAGAGGCCTTGATCTTAAATCTTTGTATCACCTCAAAGCCCAAACTTTTTTTTTTCTTTAAGAGACAGGGTGTCACTCTGTCTCCCAGAATTGAGTGAAGTGGCTTGCTCATAGCTCACTGTAACCTTGAACTCTTGAGCTCAATCCCATCTCAGCTTCCCAAGTAGCTGAGACTACAGGTGTGTTTCACCACACTCAGCTAATTATTTTTTTTTTTTGGAGAGAGGGAGTCTTGCTATATTGCCTAGGCTGCTCTTGAGCTCCTGGGCTCAAGTGATCATCCCACCTCAGCCTCCCAAAGCGCGGAGATTATAGGTGTGAGCCACCATGCCCAGTCCCAAAATGTATCTCTTTAATGACTACCTAAAAGTTAGCATCTTGGCAATGATTAGAAAAGTGAACCCTGAAGACAGCTCAGCACTCTCAACCGACTTGCTTTGGATACCTGACATTTTAAAATAAATACAAACACACGTATAAAGGAACCATCCATTTATATTTTCTAACTTCTCTCTATGTATTAAGAAAGATAAAGATCACTAGACAGCAATGAAATCAACCTGTAATTTCTCAGCATCCAGCAGGAATACTTCCACTGAAATTTAATAACATGCTCTCACCTTTTACAGAGGTTCAATATAAGACTCTCCACTTGAGAAATTGTTCTATGTCTTCAGCCAACCCATGGTTTAAAAGATCCTTTATTACGTTACCAACAACCTTTATATAAACACTTCACAGATCATAAAATACTCATGCATCCCAATTCTGTATATCCAAATCCTACCATCCTTCAGGGTTCAATTCAAATATCAATTTCTCCGTGAAGCCCTAAGTCTCCTAGGTAGATATAATATCTTACTCTTGAGCTTGTTCTTCTACTATACTTACTACTTTCTATCCCACATTAAATAAGAACTTAGGGGAGGGCATTTTATTGACCATTTGCTATGTATCAGAAACTGTGTCAATAAGCACAATACTAAGAGTTATTAACATATGTAATCTTCATATCAATCTCATCATCCTTATTTGAGGGATAAGAAAACTGAAGTCCAGAGAGGCTAATTTAATCAAAGTCATATGGCAAATAACTGGCAAATGAGGGCAGGGCTCTGGTTTGATTCCAAAGTCTACATTCCCCCCACCACACCACTGTGCCTTCCAAAATAAGTTGAACTGCCCTCTCAGGAGACTAACATTCATTTATTTATTACGTTTTGTGAAATAACTCCAAATATCCAATACTTACTTGAATTTAAACCTAACAAAATGTAGTATATGTTTTGAAAGAAGTTATTACTAATTATAAGGGCAATTCAATAGATATATTAAAACACAAGTTATAACAGTCTAGTATAGACTATGTTCCTTGAGGTCAAGAATCATATCTTTTTTTTAAGTTTGGGAGTACATGTGCAGGTTTGTTATATAGGTAAACTAGTGTCACGGAGGTTTACTGTACAGATATTTCATCACCTATGTACTAAGCTTACTACCAATACTTTTTTCTGCTTCTCTCCTTCCTCCCACCCTCCAACCTCAAGGAGGCTCCAGTGTCTGTTGTTCCCTTCTCTATGCTCATGAGTTCTCATCATTTAGCTCCCTCTCATAAACAAGGACATGCAGCATTTGGTTTTCTGTTCCTCCATTGGTTTGCTAAGGATAATGGCCTCCAGCTCCATCCATGTTCCTACAAAAGACATGATGTTGTTTTTTTTATGGCTGAAGAGTATTCTATGGTGTATATGTACCACATTGTCTTTACCCAATCTGTCACTGATGGGCACTTAGGGTGATTCTATGTGTTTGCTATTGTGAATATGAACATTCGCATGCATATATCTTTACGGCAGAACGATTTATATTCCTCTGGGTATACACTCAGTAATAGCATTGCTGGGTCAAATGGTAGTTCGGTTTTTAGCTCTTTGAGGAATTGCCATACTGCCTTCCACAATGGTTGAACTAACTTACACTCCCACCAATAGTGTGTAACTGTCCCCTTTGCTCCACAACCTCATCAGCATCTATTATTTTTTGACGTTTTAATAATAGCCATTCTGACTGGTATGAGATGGTATCTCACTGTGGTTTTGATTTGCATTTCTCTAATGATCACTGATATTAAGCTTTTTTTCCTATGCTTGTTGGACGCATGTATGTCTTCTCTGGAAAAGTACCTGCTCATGTCCTTAGCCTACTTTTTAATGGACATTTTTTTCCTTTTAAGTTCCTTATAGACACTGGATATTAGACCTTTGTCAGATGCACAGGTGGCAAATATTTTCTCCCACTCGGTAGGCTGTTTACTCTGTTGATAGTTCCTAAACTTAAGTTTAATTAGATCCTATTTGCCAATTTTTGCTTTTTTTGCAATTGCTTCTGGTATCTTTGTCATGAAATCTTTGCCCATTTCTAATGTCTAGGATGGTACTGCCTAGGTTGTCTTACGGGGTTTGTAGTGTTTCAGTCTTTACATTTAAGTCTTTAATACATCTTGAGTTGATTTTTCTATATGATGTAAGGAAAGGGTCCAGTTTCAATCTCCTGCATATGGCTGACCAGTTATCCCAGTACTATTTGTTGAATAGGGAGTCCTTTCCTTATTGCTTGTTTTTGTTAGCTTTGTTGAAGATCAGATGGTCGTAGATATGTGGCCTTATTTCTGGGCTTTCTATTCTGTTCCATTGGTCTATGTGTCTGTTTTTGTACCAGTACCATGTTGTTTTGGTTACTGTAGCCCTGTAGTATAGTTTGAAATCAGACAGCATGGTATCTCCAGCTTTGTTCTTTTTGCTTAGGACTACTTTGGCTACTCAGGCTTTTTTGGTTCCATATGAATTTTAAAATAGTTTTTCTAGTTCCGTGAAGAATGTCATTGGTAGTTGGATAGGAATAGCATTCAATCTATAAACTACTTTGGGCAGAATGGCCATTTTAATAATACCGATTTTGCCTAACTTTGAGTATGAGATGTTTTTCCGTTTGTTTGTATCATCTCTCATTTCTTTGAGCAGTATTTTGTAATTCTCAATGTAGAGCTCATTCACCTCTCGTTAGCTGTATTCCTAAGCTATTTTATTCTTACTGTGGCAACCATGAATGGTGGCATTGTGTTCCTGATTACTGACAGTCCCCAAAACACTGGTATACAGACAGTTTAAATAATCTGAAAATGAAAGTTCTTCTTGTCCAATAAAAGTATATTTCTTTCCAAAAATGAGGATCATGGGCTTTTTCTGTCCCCTTTAGCCAGACTTAGGGCTCAAGTAGAATAATTAAGTTAGCTAGGTGTTCAGCAATGTCAATTTCTCTGTTTCTTTCAATATTTTGTTTTTATTTTTCATCTTTCTAAAGGAAAAAGACTTAAGCTTATCTAGTGTTTGTGGTATGGCCTAACCAATGGACAGAAAAATCATGTGAATCTCAGAGCTTCTACCTAGCAGTAAACTCACTGATCTTCAGGGTGTTTCTTTGCAAAATCCTAGTAATTATACCTATTCTTGTATGGTGATTTTCTAAAGCTTACATAAGAATAGTTATACAAAGTAGGCCAGGCTTGGTGGCTCATGCCTATAATCCCAGCACTTCGGGAGGCTGAGGCGGGTGGATCACTTGGGGTCAGCAGTTCCAGACCAGCCTGGCCAACGTAGTAAAACTTCATCTCTACTAAAAATACAAAAATTAACCGGATGTGGTGGTGCACACCTGGAGTCCCAGGTACCCGGGAAGCGGGGGTTGCAGTGAGCTGAGATCACGCCACTGCACTCCAGCCTGGGTAACAGAGCGAGACTCTGTAAGTAAGTAAGTAAGTAAGTAAGTAAATAAATAAATAAATAATTTACACAAAGTGCCAGACATACTGCAGGACTCAATAAAGGTTCGCATTCCCCACTTTAACAAATTATTTTAAATGGCTCAAACATGCCAACCAATAACAAGTTTAATTCCACCATCTTTTCTAAAAGCCACTTAAAATATTAAATATATTTCTAAAAAAAATAACATTATTCTTAGTCCATCTGCCTCTATCAAGAAAATATATCCCCTTTTGATACACATTCTTTCCCTAAAAATAATGCAGAAAACATGCTCTTGCCGGGCGCGGTGGCTCAAGCCTGTAATCCCAGCACTTTGGGAGGCCGAGGCGGGTGGATCACGAGGTCAAGAGATCGAGACCATCCTGGTCAACATGGTGAAACCCCGTCTCTACTAAAAATACAAAAAATTAGCTGGGAATGGTGGTGCGTGCCTGTAATCCCAGCTACTCAGGAGGCTGAGGCAGGAGAATTGCCTGAACCCAAGAGGCGGAGGTTGCGGTGAGCAGAGATCGCGCCATTGCACTCCAGCCTGGGTAACATGAGTGAAACTCCGTCTTAAAAAAAAAAAAAAAAAAAAAAAAAAAA